AGGTTACAAAGCAGTTGATACGTTCTTTGGTTTAAAACAAAGAAATGTATTTGCAATACTATTGTCCAGTGAGTCTCAGACAATGAGATTGTCTATTTCTAATTCCCCTAAGATCTACAAATAGGATCCATTTATAAATTCACACTCTTCATAAGCACAAACAATAATGTGGCCAAGATAGAAGTCTTACAACAAATGTGAAGCAGAAAATGGGTTCCAAAAATCACTACCCAGATTTTAAAATGTCTTTTTATTTACTTAATAGTTTTGTCATATTCACTTGGAATAAACCTAGTACCCAAATACTAGTTATTAAGCTCAGATTGTAAAACCTCTTGTGATCTAAATGTTATACTTGCCTCCACAATATTAAAACAGATTTTCTTTAAAAAAAAAAGATAAATGGTGAGAGGTCAATGCCTAGGATTCTGTCCTCATGAAGAGAAAACTCAAAGACTAAACTGACTATTATGAAGCTTTCCAGTGGAAAAAGGAGTATTTTCCCAGTAAAACTTAATTTAAAACAGTAATGGGCAGACATATTTTTGGCCAGGAGCTAGCCTGAAAACAGAGTGAGGCTTGAACAAAATCAAACGTATTATACTAATTTAGTCTAGAGGGAAAGGAATGCTTCCCTGTTCAGCAATTTCTCAAGTCCCTTGCCAATCCTAACATCCCCTGATGTTTTCATATTGCTTATGGTGCTTTTCTTTTGCATAACCCAAAATCATGCAAAAGGGTGAGTAGATAAGTGACTGGAATTTAGTGGGATACTGAAGGTGGAAATAACAATGCAACAAAGGTAGTACAAGTGCAAAAGGAATAACAAAAAAGCAGGAATTATTCCATTTCCATTTAAACTATAACCAGCCTCTTCATCTGCTAGTCTCATAGAACTCATGAGACCACACACACCTACCCAGTATCAGTCTTACAGCAATTCAGAAGCTTCTCACATCTAGAAATCTTCCCTAGTTGTTATGAGATTGAAAGCCACCTTACCTCCCATGATCTGCCTTTTCAGTGAATTTCAGCAACACCATCAGGCCTCCCACTATCTGTTTTAGTCTAAGGCCTACAGAAGTCAAGAACACCTCCCAGAAAGTCTCATAAGGTTCTTTAATAGAAATCTGTTCACATGAAACTTTGAAGAAACACCGGAAATGTGAATTTAAGTACAGGAAATAATTTTAGAGGTACATAGGGTCAGAGATACCCTCCAGTAAATCTCAGTCAGAAGAGGTGGAATAGAACCATAATTTCCCTGATTTAGTTCTCCTCTTCTCACATACAATAACCATTTTAAAAGCCAAAGATTCAAAACAAAAAGATACAGTAATTGTGAAAGTATGAGTTCAGTAATTTAGGGATAAATTCCTTACAACATTTTAAAGTAAAACAGAAAACCTCATGCTGGTGATAGAACGAGAGGAAATGGCTACAAGTGGCACCAGGGGAGGTTTAGGTTAGATATTAGGAAAAATTTCTTCACAGAAAGGGTAGTCAAACATTGAAACAGGCTGCCCAGGGAAGTGGTGGAGTCACCATCCCTGGAGGTATTTAAAAGATAGGTAGATGAGGTGCTTAGGGACATGGTTTAGAGATGGGATTGGTAGTGACAGGTTAATGGTTGGACTTGATCTTAAAAGTCTTTTCCAGCCACTATGATTCTATGGTTCTATTCTATCCAGTAACATCTAACCAAATAGGCTTTTTTATTTTTTTCAACTATTCACACTTATATTAAAGTTTAAAATGCTTTGTAGCAGTGTAAAGGATATTAATATTTTAAAAGTGTTTTTGTCAATTATTACAAAATTAACCACAATTCTAATTTGTGAGCTGAAAACATCATTATGAAAGGGACTAAAATACTCAAGGGAAATCAAAGCTCAGAAAATATGTTTACTTCTTTGTAACCTTAAGTCTGAACCGCCATACCTACTCCTACCCACAAGAAACACTTCCCAGGTCCAGTTCTGAAAGTACAATTTTAAACAGATATGTTGACTAGTGCTTTCTCACATCTGCTCTTGTGCTCTGTATGATTCACAAATGTTTTGAAATCAGGAAAGAGTTTATGCCCCTCTTACCCTTCACTAGCAGGGTACAGTACAGTCTATTTTCCTGAATTACATGCCGTGATCATCACTGTTCAGCTGCACAGCAGTTCTGCTAGATCAGAACTGCATCCAGGAACTCATGTGCTCTCCTCAGTGTGTAATGAAACCTCCAAGGAAGACAGTACGTAATATGGATGTGCAGATTTCATCACAAAAAACTCCAGCTCTGGTAACCTTTTCTCTCTCTAGTGGCTTTTGCATATTCCCACTGGTAGGATACATTACCCGTCAGTATTAATGTAAAAGACAAAAAAACCCCACCTTAATTAAAAAGCAATTTAAGTACTACTCTGCCAAACGAAGCATTAGACTCAGCCACTAGGTTGTAAAAATATGAATGTAATCCTATGTGGCCACTTTATATACTTTATTCCATGGCTGGAATGTGTCTGAGCATGCTGTGTAAAATCAGTACTTACCACTTAAAAGGGTCACAGGAAGCTGAGGATGTATAGTTTTCTAGAACTAACCCATCTAACCCATCTGAATAATGTTTTTGAAAAGACAGTCTTACCTCTTCTCTTCACACAAAGCAAAGAGTCTGCATTTCTGAATATCATTCTCTAAGAAATCAAATTAGTGCTCTAATATGCAAAACCATATTTTCCCTATTTCTGCAGTACCCAAAGAAGTACAGAGGTACATTCATCAATAATGACATCCCCTGACTATTTTCATTAAAGATTTAAGATAAGAACATAGTACGACTTCATCTTCATGAATTACTCTGAATAATGCTAAGCGCTTGCAACTCATGCTTGCAAATGATTTCAAGACTTTCATGAGCTTTTCTCATCAGTTCCAACAGCCTTCAATAATACTGAAAAACAAAATTAAAATGCAAATGAGGTTCTGTAACCTTAATGAGACTAAACGCTGAAGCCGTGTAAGAACATTTTAAATGTATCTTGCAAACAAATGTGTTATTAATCAAATAACAGGATGCCTATTTTATTAGCAAACAGACTTAACAAGGAAGATTGAGAGACATAGTGTTGGAACACATATTCTGGTATATGCTGATCTGAGTGATATGGTTGGTGAAATATTACTACTGTTTACCCACATACAGAATATCTTTCAGTTTAAAATGTAAAATTTTCTATGAGATCTTCATTAGTATGTTCTTGACTTCCACAAAATAAATGTTTCAAACATTTCAGAATTTTTTTAGATTTTTTTTTAGTTTTAAATCTCTGGGGGAAAAAAATCTAATCCATATTACTATGATGGACAACACTGCAGACACAAACTTGATGCAGAGACCCTGAAGGAATTTCAACAGCACCCCATGCAGCTGGTCCAGATCCCAAAGAGCACTTGGGACCAACATCCATAATGCATCTGCAGCAAGTGCTGCACAGAAAGAGGCCTTTTCCTTGATCCATCAGCAAAGAGATCATGAAGCAGGTAGTCTTCAGGGTAGCAGACAGAATTTATTATTAGGTGGTTTGGGTGGGCAGTGTTGACAAATTAAGTATTGTGATTTGAACAATTTCTATTTGTTTTTTGAAAAAAGTGAATCACCTTGTATTTAAGATAATTTGAAATGTAATACATTATTGTGGGTCTGGAAAATACTGCTGCCTGTAGCAGTCACTTCACCTTAAAAATTCACTAGTGTATAACTATTATACATGCTAGTAGATTTTTTTTATTTTCAGCACAAAGAGTATACAGAAGAACATGTGTGAAAGCTGTTGGCTTCACAGTGCAAGAAAAGCAATAGAAAAGAATTTATCTTTCCACACCAAAACCAAAATGTTCTGAAATTCTGCATTCTAACTCCCAAAAAGCCTATGCCCGAGTGTCACACCAATGCAAAGATTCTGTCTGTAACAGTGGGAAACAACTAATGAATCTCTGCTGTCATCCACTTCAGCAGCAGCTGCGTATTTTCAATCAGGTGAAAAAAACCAGATTTGGATAGTATGATGGACACTTGAAGCAATCATATAAGCAATACTTCCTCACGGAAAGACAATGCTTCTTGAAGACTCATTTGGAGTATAAGGTTCTGTCTTTCCTGGAGCCAGCAAATGTTTTAGATACAACTCTGCTACTAATTCTTTTAGTGTAGGAACAACGACATCCACTTTACTAGAATCCCAGTTATCAACAAAAGAGATTAGTTCCCTCAGCAGCAAAACGTGTATGTGACAAAGGGAATGCTATGCAATTATGTTGGATGTCCTTCCCACACTTTTTTTTTTTTTTTTAATCTTCTTGCTTTGGTTTATAGAGGCCTAAACGTAGACAAAACAAGTAGATGAAGCAGTAATTTGGAATAAAATTGAATTACAGCTTACTGGCAGAATGCGACCTAATAGTGGACAATTAGGTTTAATGCTACTTGTACTGAGAGGTTTCCTGGAGTGAACATTTATGATAATAAAATTGCCATATTCAGTTAAAGTCAAAAGTGTATAACAAGTTTTTGACTAATGATTAGACTACATTTCTATAAAAACAGATAGGGCACTAAAATAATAACATTTGCAAGCCAGCCTTCTATAAAAAAGGAACCAGACTAAAGATCCAGCCTGTTTCCATTCTTTTGCTGCTGGAGGTCAGAAGGAACTGAAGCTGCTAGAATGTCATGTCTCCTTTTATTGCATTGCCACTGCAACATTTGGAAACAATAAAGAGACAAGAAGAAAGGCGAAAAAGCTCTAACAGACAACACTTCCAGCAGAAGTGCAATTCCAGAGCTGCACTCAATTAAACAGGAATATGCAAAGCCTCTGCAAAGGAGAAAGAACCAGATTATTTTCTTCATCTGAAATTTTATAAATTATATAATACATGTTTAAATTTTAGTACATAAATAACACCATAGGCTATTGTATTTGGGGGTTATCAATAATATATTCTTACCTTTTTATCTTCTTTAGACTTCCTAATACTGTGCGGAGGGCCAAATTTGTTCTGCATGCAAAACATCTTCTTAGACCATTCATTTTTATGAGATTTTAACTGCGGCTGACCAAAATTGCCATCAACTCTGTATCTGTCAGCTGGAATCTTGCTCATTGGTGGGGGAAGAGTTCCACAGTTAACACTTGACCAGCCATCTGTAGAATCAGTGTAGGACTCCTGGTCGCTGGCATTTCCATGCTGCCATTCTTGTAAAACGTGCACGGGCAACCACCTCTGATTGCCTGCAGTGCTTTTCTTTGATGGGGGTACTGAATTTCGGGAGGAAACGAGTGGAACTTCAATACGAGCAGAGGGACTTAAGTGTTTGCTTACATTTTGGGACTTATCATTCGGAATTACTTCTAAAGGAACGATTCCTTCTTGTTCATGACAGAAGCCATTCCAATGGGAAGCAGGCTGATTTTGTCCCCTTCCTACTGGATTTTCCCATATACTGTTAGGAATGTGTTTACTCGGATTGCTCCCTAAATCAACCACCAGAACTCTATTATTCTTTTCTTCTTGGTTAAAATTTCCAATTCCACTATCACTGTTACTGCTTGTACTATTATTCTGATGAGCATCTGCATCACCATCAAGAAAAGCCCTCGCACGCATTCCCTCAATCAGCTCCCCCATATCCCTGTACAGGACAGAAATGAACTGAAGAACAGGCAGAGATGATGTTGGAAACTCTAGACAGCCATTTGTGTCTGGATCTGCTGTACATTCCAGTCCAAAACGTCTTGCTATGCCCTGGTGAATTTTATGATGAAATAATTCAGGATCCACCATAAAAACATGGCAAGATGTCCTCAGAACCCCTTCATCTTCCTGAGCCAAGCTTGCATCATCATTTGTCTGCATTGTAACTAATCCAAAGAATCTCCTATCATCCGGGCAAACAGCACTGAATGCCAGTTTCTCTGCAGGATATTCTGCCACTACACCTGATTTGTCACTGCAGAGCTGAATGCAGTCATGCATTATCTTCATCATCACTAGTGAATGGATTTTTTGTTCTGCCCGTAGACGTCTCATGCATCCACGAATAGCCTGCAAACTCTCATTTTCCAAATTTGAGGTTGTTGAAGGAAGTTCAATTGAGCCTAGGTAACCTACAATCATGGCAACATTTAAAATGCTTGCATCTAATCCAAAGTCTTCTGCGCTCTCCAGTCCAATTCTAAAAACTGAATCATCATTCAAAACTTTGGATATTTCTTCCTTTGACAGTAGGTTTGGATTGCTTACACCTTCATTTCCAGTTTCAAATCTCATAGCAGCAGAATCTGAAAAGGATCTTTGTTTTGGTGCAGAGTTATCTGAGTTACCAGAACAAAGAGTAGGATTCTCAAAGATCATGTTGAAAATGCCCCCAGACTGCATTTCTTCAACAACTTTCTCTGCTCTGTTTATACCCAGAGCTTTAGAGTCTGGTTTGGGTTTCAGCCACCCTTTTCCATCATAAAAACCAACTTCTTCATCACTTGAACATGAATCTAAATGACTAATCCCTTCAGCAATGACCATGTGCAGGACTCCAGAACATTTTCCTATAAGTTTCACTACATCTTCATGAGAGGCTTTTTTCACATTGATTTCATTAACGGCAAATATCTGATCTCCTGCTTTAAGTCCAACATAATCTGCAGGGCTTCCTTTCATAACACAACTTAGAACACAAGGAGCTTGTCCAGAAAGGGTAAACCCATAACCTGCTCTTCCTCTAGCAACTTCCACACTTCTTATCCGAGGAGGAGCATGCATGTTGAGTCGACGTTTGACTGTCTCCCCTGATCTATACATTTTGGGGGTTTTTTTCCTGAAATAGGAAAACTTTTAATTAGTCCAGGTTTTTGTCATGTTTCAATATCACTCCTTCATCTGATGAAACTCTAAAAAAAAGAAAGGAAAAAAAAATTAATTTTCAATCATATTTCAGGGTTTTTAGTACCCAGTATTCCCTTTACAGTTCCGAAATATTTTTAGTGAATTTTACCAAAAAACTATTGCTAGAGAATTAACACAACAAAAAAGAAAAAGAACAGGCACCACAGTCTTATTTTTACTGATGAGAAAGCAGCAGCAAATGAAAATAATGTGGCAGTCCAAAATGGAAAAGAGAAAAACAGAATTTAAGTCGTCTGATGTTTCTATACTACAGCATGTTACATCTTCTGCAACTCCACCATGTTACCTACTATTCAGTTATTTTCTGGCTTACTGCACCATTGCAATACCACCACATTTTACAGCACAGTGAAAATTCTGGATGAAGCTCATATATCCCTTCCCACCAACATAAAAATTAGAGCTTCAGTGTCTCTACTCAGCTATAGCCAACTCCCCTTTATACTCAATGTAGAGGAACAGGCATCAAATATATCCGTGTAAAACAGGTTAGAGAAACCACCTCCAGACCTGCCTGTGTCTCTTCACTGACTGACTGTAAAGACAATGTAACATAAGTATCTCCAACTTCAACTTTCACACATACATTTCAGTTACATACACAACAACAAATGGACATTCAACATCTATTAGACCAAAGGTATCCAAAATCAGATTTACTCTGTGTTACACAAATCAATTAATCTACTCAAAAATAACTTGTCAGAAAATAAATGTATCACTATAAAAATGCATTTCAGCCAGTCATTGCAATATCCATGTGTTTTAGATAAAAACTTCCAAAAAAAGAGGAAAAAAGAAGGAACTCCACATGCTGCCAGTATTAATCTAGTCATGACTTTACAATTAAAATGAAGCAGCTTTATTTGAACAGGAAGAAATAGTAGATTTCAGTATATTTTGGTGTTGACACTGAAGTCTGGATGTCTTGTTCTAATTATACTGAGGTAAACTCCACTGTTTTAGAGAGGTTTCCTGCACTAAACACTAAAATGCATAAAAATGGTTTAACACAAAGAATAGAAATGACTTGTTCAACTTTTGAGACTATCCCTTCTTACTTCCACAGGTCTGGAGGATGACTGACTGAAACAACTGGAGGACTACAGCTACATAAAACTGCAATAAACTCAGTCTGAGCAAATGAGAACTAACCTAAAAATAATTACTGCTCTGAGTTGGCCCACAGGTTTATCCATAACTCAGTCACACCGTAACACACTTAAAGTATGTAAGGTACTTGAAAGTGAGTATTCTCTATATGTGCGCAAAATGGGGACAATATTTTACATAAATAGATACACATAAATATATATACACACGCACACATGCAGAGATACACTTTTTTTATCATCTCTAAAGTGTTAAATAAGTGGTCCCCAACCCACTACTTGCATGGAAGAAAAATTACCAAGAAACCTTTCTGACACTGCTCTCAGCTACAGAAATAACAAAAAACCCACACTCAAAATGTGATGCAATCCACAGCACACTACTTTCACGGTATTTCTGCCTGGGATAGAGCAAACAGAAGGGCCACAACTTCAAAAGTTCCACCAAAAGAAAACCCACCCTAAAACACAAGTTAGGATCAAAGTCTTAACTACCTAACTATATATGAGCTGTGTGATTACCAAATTTTAAAAACCACTGTTGTTTCTTGAATATTCTGCTAAATAACTACAGGATGTGATTCCCTTAGGACCCTTCCAAACCCTAAATAGGACTGCCTTCAAGATACTACAGAAGACATTCACTTGGCTTTACTTTTGGGGTTTAGTTTGTACTTTTTTTTTTTTAACAAAAGGACATCAGGTTTTTATGTCTACGTGGTGCAGCTGTGACTTTTCAATGTAGCACGGTTTTTGCAAATTGTTTTAATATAGCAATTATCTAGCTTGAATAACAACAGTTCCCCTATAATTTGAGAAAATAACTTAGCTTTAAGTAGTAATGAAACTTCACACTTAACCTTTGAATGGAAATCATAACAGAAGAAACGCTTTGCAAACATTTAACCAAACTCACACGATGCTGTAAAAGACCCCTGTCAACCTGCATCCAGTCTCGTGCCTTAAACATAGACTGACCTTTTCCTGATGAGGCTGAACTTGTGAACCAAGAGATCACTGTGCATTCAGCTCTCTCTAGTTAGGTCTGGTACCTTCTGAGAATAATCACTAAATATTTCAAGATACAGTTCTTCAACCAAAAAAAAAAAAATAAAATGAACCTACCAATGCCCAACAGTAAATATCAACGTGCTCTCTAGGAGCATGAATATATACACATTTCAATTTGCCTTACACTGAATATTTCTGTTCTCAATTGTCTGGAGAATAGCCTCATGTGTCCCTTGGGTACCCTCCAAAACTGTGCTGCTAACCTGGTCAATATAAAACACTGTAGTATCTGGCATCTAAAAGTGTGCTACTAGCTTGCAAGAGGAAAGGAAACAATTAAGAGAGTATTAGATTATAAATAATCTGATCAAAAATATAATAAAAAGCTGTAGTTATAAAAAAATAAGATTCAATATTGTAATGTTGAAGTGGCTTATAAGAAAAAAAAAAAAAGATTTTTCACAAATATCTTTCTAATCTAAAAAAAAAAAATACCCTAAATGCAACTATAAAAAACACACAATGAAAATGTAGTTAGGCTGCTCTGGGGAAGAAGCAAACCCCAGTGCTGTCTTACCTCACAATTCCACATTTGCTATGAGAGGATTCCTTTTAACCCTATTCATAAGTCAGTTTATCTATCTGCCTTCCTAACCCATGCCCCTAAGACATCAAGCATTTATTCCAGACAATAACCCATGATAAATAAACGTCATTCCAAAACCTGACCATTACAGAAACACAACAGCATGCTGCTAATACATTACTTTTCTCTAATGATGAAGTTCCAGAGGTGTGACAACCTCCAGCTATTGATTTATTACACTCACTGATTTTGTGAGTGTAAAGTCAGGAAGTCATTCAACATTAAAGGGTTTTTTGCTATTAATGCATATATACACTAAAAAAAAAAAAAAACAACCTGTGCTACATCACTAGAAAAGCCATCTCTTCCCTCCCTCAGTCGCTGAATATTATTGTGCATTTTTGTGCCAAGTACACCCATGACAAATAACAGCTCACTAAATTTATTTAGGAAACTTGAAGACAAAGGACAAACGCAGCTCTTCTGCAAGAACCCTCAGCATTCAAGTAGGTTTCACTGCAACAATGGCACGACAGGCAAATGGAAAAATGACCAAAAAAGTGTTTCTCATAACTAGGTAAGATTCCAACAGAGATTAGTTGAGTTACAAACTGTTAACAAACTAGCTCAAAACTAAATTATCAATTACCAAATTGCCTAAAAATGGCACAAAATTCCACAGTTTCAAAGTAATCATATGTCTGAATATCCTTTTCCTGTAATAAATTACAAAATGTGTAGTGTATCCAGTGAAACAAAGACACCATTTTAGTTGCACTGATACAAAGCTTTGTAGGTGTCTGAATGTTTAGTAAAACATGAAATTGTTAGGGAACTATATAACCTGTGATAATTGTCATGAGTAACCAAAGATAAAAATTAGTTGTTGATTTTCAGTTCAAATTAGATACTGAATCTTACTGAGCCTGCCAATAACATACTGCTGTAACTACTTCTAATAATTACAGCACTATGTTATTAATTTGCTAGCGTAACTACATTCAGTTATATACAGTAGGTCAGAAAAACAGTTACACCACAATGCTACACATGGCCAAGCTCACTTTGAATTTCTGCTGTCATTACATATGTTAAAGTAAGTCTTAAAGAAAAAAGTAGTACAATACCAAAACACATTAGTGAATAGTAGTCAGGAGGATATGTGCATTTTATAGGAGAAAACAGGCCTATAAAAGAGAATCATTTGTAATACATAGTATCTGAACCTTAAGCAAATAAAACAGTTTTATGACATTTCAATATACTCATTAAAAACACTGAAAATACAGAATTCCTACTATCATTTGAAGAAAACTGCAAACATAAAATTAATACTATGATTTCAGAAAGTTCATCAAAATTTGTACCAACACAGCTTAGTAATATGACACAGAACAAATAGGGTTTAATAACTACCAAATATTTCACAGGACATTTCAGACAGAAACACTAACATATAAAAATTAAGAGTCGTTCAAGTATGTGAAATAACATAATTTGCCCATATACATCAGCTTTGTCACAGGACTGCAAAACAAAAAGAAACATTTGAGTTTTCTGCCAGCACACATTCTGGTCTACCATTTCAATCAATTATTTGGGGGGTATAAAACACCAAAAATACCAGTTACAGTTGAATTGTACTGTATCCCACAAATACTGCATTTCTTTATGTAATGTTTTCACATATCCATGCCAGCTTTTCATGTCATTTTCAAAGCCTCTACTCCAGAGAAAATAATACTTATTTGCTTACTTTCAAGGGAGAGAGGTGGTTTGTTTCCTGCTTCTGCTCTTGCTAACTCATAGCAACAAAAAGAGCAAACAGAAAGAGCCTGTGTTAGGCTATAACCTTAACAGTAACACGGGGCAGTGAGGGAGCATGTGAAGTTTAAAACTACTACTTTTCATTCTGAAAAGCCTTTGGAAATGAGCTGATACTCAGCACTACAGTACCCATCTTAATGTGTTTTGGGTTTTTTTCTGAAAAGAAGAGAACTGGTTGGCTTCCTTTTGTTTTTCAACAGTGAGACTGTAAGAGGATAAAACATGCAAAGCAGGAGAGGAGAGAGACTGTTCCCTCATCCCTCACACGCATCTCAAAAGTATAGCAAAAGACTCTTCAGCATGGGTGCCACTCATTAAGGCAGAACTGATTTTCTCAAATGATGCCACTACAAAGCTCAAATGAAGTTATAAAATTTGAATTCCCCTCACTATTCAAATGTGGTACTTGTTTATAGACAAGTAACACAAGAAATATAACAGCAC